AAGCAGCCCGGGCAGCCAACCAGATCCCGGACATGGGCATGGGCAGACAAACCCCGTCCTGGATGCCCCCTTCATTATTATTATACTACTACGAGTACAGCACTCCAACTACCACCACCACCCTGTGCTGTGACTAAATCATGTCCTCCTCTCACCCTCATTCTCACCCCGACCCTCACCCTCACCCTCATCGACGCCGCTCCTCCTCCATCGCCATTGACGCCGACGCCGCCCTCACCGAGCCCTTCCCCGACTTGTCCCCCTCCGTCGTCACATCCCCCGACTTTGGACGACAGGGCGCATCCACCAGCGCGTTCGCCCAGTCCTCGTCCTTGTCCTCGTCCTATGCCCCTGCGGCAGCCGCCTCTGCACAAGTCGCCGGCGACACCACCGAGATCGAGATGGAGCCCATTCTGGGACACAGGAGGCGGAAGAGCAGCGCCCTCAACGCTCCCCAGGCCGCACCCGCGAGGCCAGCGGCTGCCGGCGCCGGTGGCAGAAAACACCTTTCGGCGGGTTTGCCCGACCGCTCAGACTTGTTGGAGGAAGCCGGCGGGAGCAGCAGCACGTCGACCAATTCCGGAAACGACGACGAAGGCCGCGAGAGGCCCAGCTTCAGCGACGAGGATCTACACAGCGACGAGGAGACGGGACTGAGCAACAAGGAGCGTGCCCGGAGGCAGAAGAAGCGCCGGAGAATCACACAGCTGGGGCAGCGCATCGCGCGGGACAAGACGTTGTCGGCGGAAGAGCGCCAGGAAGCAGACAAGGACGTCGTTAAGAAGCTCATGGTCAATGTCGTGTTGATTCTGCTGTGGTACTTGTTTTCACTATCCATTTCACTGGTGAGTTGATTGCGCCTTCTTCTTGGCTTTGCCGTGACGGTTTCCTCTGACAGAATTGGCTTTGCAGTATAACAAGTGGATGTTTGACGAGGATCGCCTCAACTTTGCGTTCCCCCTCTTCACCACGTCAATGCACATGGTGGTGCAATTCATCCTCTCAGCCCTCGTCCTCCTCTTCGTTCCCTCATTACGACCACAGAAATCCCACACGTCCGACATGGGCAGGTCCCGCCACGAGACAGAGACGAGCTCGACCATGTCCAAGATGTTTTACCTCACAAGGGTTGGGCCTTGCGGTGCTGCCACCGGCCTCGACATTGGCTTGGGAAACACTTCGCTCAAGTTTATCAGCTTGACATTTTATAGTGAGTTTTGATCAACCATTCTAGCAACCATTCCACCCAACTGACAGCTCGTCAAGCCATGTGCAAGTCCTCCTCTCTCGCATTCGTCCTCCTATTCGCCTTCGCCTTTGGCCTCGAAAAGCCCACCTGGCGCCTCGTCGCCATCATTGCAACGATGACAATGGGCGTCATCCTCATGGTGTTTGGTGAGGTCGAGTTCAACCTCGGTGGCTTCGGTCTCGTCATCTCAGCTGCCTTTTTCTCCGGCTTCCGCTGGGGCCTCACCCAGATCCTGCTTCTCCGCAACCCGGCAACGTCAAACCCCTTTTCCAGCATCTTCTTCCTTACGCCAGTCATGTTCATCACTCTGTTCTCCATTGCAATCCCCGTTGAGGGCTTCGTTCCCCTCTGGGAAGGCTTAAAGACCCTCAGCGCCGAATGGGGCACCTTCATGACGCCCCTGTTTCTCTTGTTCCCGGGCTGCATCGCCTTTTTAATGACGGCATCCGAGTTCGCCTTGCTGCAGCGTACATCCGTCGTCACCCTCTCCATCGCCGGCATCTTCAAGGAGGTCGTCACCATCTCGGCCGCCTCCGTCGTGTTCAAGGATAAGCTCACCCTCATCAACTTCGTCGGCCTCATCACCACCATGCTGGCCATCGTCGCCTACAACTACGTCAAGATTAGCAAGATGCGCGAGGAGGCCCAGGTCCACGTCCACGTCCGCGTCACCGACGTCGACGCCGGCATGAGCACCAGCGCCAGCGACTTTGAAAACGACGACAGCGCCGAGGAGACGGCTGGCCTCCTTGCGCAGAACATGGAGAGGGGCGATGCCCTCGTCACGTCCGACGGCGACATTCAGCCCAACGCCGTGCGGTCTTCGCATCAAAGAGATGCGTCGAGAGATCGCCTGCTAAGGAGGGACGATTAAACGAGAGAAGAAAAGGGAACGCACATCGAATACACATAGATACGCAACATTGGGCGATTTCAGACCGCCACGTCATTTTATTATAAACTTTTCTTGTATATTGGGCTGTTATTTCGAGGTCTTTTTTTTCTAGGCCAACCAAGGCTTTTTTGCACACACAAACAAACAAACATATATATATATATATATATACAACTGTCGGAAAGCCTGGTATCTATCATCATTGTTAAAGCATTTGAACGGGAAGATATGGAACGGGAACTGGGGAATGCAAACTGGAGCACATAAAACTTGTTTTCTTTTTAATGGGACCAAATGTCGTTTTTATCTTAACAAGGGCAGATTTGGAGAGAAGATGTGAAGCAGGAGGAGGAAGAGATGGGATTGATAAACCAGCATGTATTGATGCACGCAAAGCATTTTAGACAGACGCCTGTTAGAGCAGACGGCGAAACAGATACCCCATGTGAAATATAAAGGTGTATACTGGACAAATCTTTTCCCAGTAGCAAAGGCCATGTGTTGTGTTTAAACTTGTTCGCCCGTATATGCATGCATCAAAGAATCTCTCTTTTAATTTCCATGTACGGGTATGCCCTGATATAGTTCCCCCCTTTCCCCAACGCCAACGCGCAGACTCAAACATAAAAAAACCATGAGAACAATTACAAATCTTGTCTTCTATGCGATCAAAAGAATCAATTCCTCCCTTTGCTCCATTCTTCAACCCAAAAGGCGTAAACCATTCTTCGTCTTCTGGCCAGCCTTGGTAACCCCAGAGCCCGATCTGGGACCAAGATTCGGCTCGTACCCTCCAGCCCCCGAATCATTTCCACGGTTCCCATTACCGCTGTTGCCGCCCTTCTTCTTGTTGCCGTGCGACTTGTTCTTGACGTTTGTCGACTTGATCTCGGTATTGGCCTTTTTGACGACCACGGGATGGCTCTGGATGTACTTGCCGTGCATCTCCTTGGCCGCCTGGAAAAAGTCGTCGGCGTCGCTGAAGCTGACGAAGCCGTATCCCTTGGACTTTGTCGTGCGCTTATCACGGATGACTCTGGCCTTTTGCACCGACTTCCACCGGGCAAACGCCTTGAGGAGAGACTCGTCCGTCGTTTCGCCCGCCAGGTTTCCCACAAAGAGGCGCAGGTGGGACGGGTCCCATTCCAGCAACGTATCGTCGGTCCACTTCTTGCCGCCGCCCTCTCGAACGACAGTCTTCTTCTTGTCCGCCTGCGCAGTCGGGTCTACGACCTCGGGCTTCGCGTACTCTTGCGCCGGGACGGGTTTGCCGTCCTTGTCGGTTTCGCGGGGTCCGTAGGCACTCTGCCATTGGGCAATCTGGGCAGCCATGTCCGGGTCGTAGTCCGGGCCAGCAGCAGCAGCAGCAGCAGCAGCAGCACCCGGCGTAGGGAAAGGGTTCTGAATACGCGGTGCGGCTTGGTACTGCTGGGCCTGGTACGGCTGGGCCTGGTATGATTGGCCCTGGTACGACGACTGCGATGGCTGCTGCGAATAGGCATGAGGGGCATAGCTTTGTGCTTGTTGTTGCTGGGGGTAGTGTTGCTGCTGATTGCCTGCTTGAGGGTACGAGTATGACGAAGCAGAGCGGTTCACGGACGAGCCCGCAGCGTGGCTAGGATAGCTCGAGTAGGACGAGCCATAGTGGGCGGCAGCTGGGTAGCCCGGGGCGGCAGCTCGCGCGGAGTTTGCATTCGAGTACGACGACGTCGACGACGATGACGACGGGACAGAAGGCTGGCCCGTCGGGTTGAAGCTCGATCTGAAGCCGGGCCTCGAGGTGCTGGCGGGCGGGCGCGCAGGGAGATTCGTGCCTGGAGGTGGTGGATGTGACATGATGAACAACTCCGTTTGGTTTCTTATGGCTGAATGGGAGTCTCGCAGCTGTGCAAAGTAATAAACGTACCTTTGAGCGTCCCTTTGGCTCAAAGTCCCCACGAATACAAGTTCTGTTCTGATTTTTTTTTTTTTTTGCGTGCGCTGCTGGTTGTGGCGCGTATCGAGATTTCGAGAAAGGTTTTTTGGTGGTTTTGGCAGATTCGAGAAGCGTGGCGGTTTGGCTATTGGGTGTTGATATCGAGAGACCAAAAATCGGCGAGGCAACGGAGGGGTCACGTGATGGGATGATTGGATGGTAGCAGATTGGTAGAGAGTCATGTGACGGTTGACGCGGTAGGTCCTAGGCAGATGTCTACAGAATATGGAGCATTTTATTGCATTTACACTAATTCATATTCATTATGACACGTAATAGAGCCATTGCGTTGAAATAGTGATGGCTTCGTTTTCTTGACGGTGACCTCACACATCGCTGGTGTACAGAGACGATCAGTGATTGGCTAATGTGTAATCTACCAGGTACGATAACGGGTCGTCTCCAAGACCCGCACTTTGAAGCATTGCGGAACGGTTGAAGAATAGAATGGATCAATGAGGCGACCATTGAGTGAAGCATTTATAATGTAAAATGAGCAATCACTCCGCTATATTTTATATTCAACTCTCTATAAATGCATCTATACTCATTCATTCATTGCAAGGCTGTGTAATGCCGCCCCACTCTCATCCCTCCAATGCTAGTCTGTGATTGGCCAATAGCCCGGCTGCAGCCTCGTCGCGACAAATTCGGGTTTCGCGCGACTCAAACGACAGCCGCATCTCACGCTCTGCATCTTTTCGCATCCCGGCCGCTGCATCTGCCTTTCCGCCTCATCTCCAGATCCATCGGCGCTCTTCACGTGCCGCGCGCATTGGATCTGCCACCGTCGTCTCGGCTAAAATCCGTGCCTCGCCGGCCGCGCATTTTGCATGCCTGAAGCTGCAAGAGTCGAGTCGCCATAGAGCCGACAGCACAGCATGGCGCAACCAAATCCCAGCCACAGCGTCCCTCAGGACCTTGTAAGTGCCCTCCAACTTAAATCCCCAATTGCAGGCATCAATCACCACCTACAAGAAACCGCTGCTGATACACAACACGATGGACAGATGCCGCATGTCCACCTCATCTCGTCGTACCGATACCCTGCGATCCCCCGGCTCGACTTCAACGAGGTGGCCAAGTGGCTCATGAATGCGCCCCAGATTGCCAGAGACCAGGCGCCCTTCTTCTGGACATATCTCGACAAGCCCGCCGACGGCACCATTCTGCTGACATGGCAGCCTCTCTCCAGGCTGGGGACCAATTTCGCGACGGATGGCTTCGTCTGGGCGCCGCCCGAGCAGATTTACAAGCATGACTTGGGCAATGGATTGGTTTGTAGCACCATTGGACCATTGATCAATGTCCCAGACAACAACTAACGCGCGATTGCAGATGCTCGAGATATACTACCTCAAGGCGGGCTATATCCCCGGCGAACAATTCACTCTCCACGCTCGACGACGATTCCGACTTGTTCCCGTCGCGGGCCACCCCAACCCCCCGCAGCCAGACCCAAACCTGTTCATTGTGCACTACGGCCCTGCCGAGATGAACGATCGCGTCCCTGTTGCCATGATCCCCTATGACGAGAGGGTCAATGCCATCATGCAACAGCGTCACTTCCTTCAGAGGGCGGGCCAGATCCGCCGAAAGGAATTCATGCTGTCCGATCGAGTCAACTGGCCCTCACTCCCGGAGCTCACTCGCCAGCAGATGGGCCCCCAGATGAACCCTCGCGGCGTGCCACAGCAGATGGCATATCCCGCCCAGCCACCGCCGCCGGGCCCGCCTCCCAAGAGGGCTCGCCATGGCCAGGCTCAGGCCCAGCAAGCAGTGCTTCCACCAGGAATCCCCCCTGTCGACGCCGCCTTTGATGACGATGAGGATATCTCGAGGGGAGACATGTTTGATCATTTGACGCCAAGGGAGATTTCAATGAGTCGATACCAGCAAAATCACGAGTGGATGGAAGAAATCCTGTCTTCTGCCTACAGAATAAGTCAGATCACACCGGCAGACCTCGGCTTGGGCCTCAAAGGCGAACTGGCATCTCTAACAGAGGGCATTTTTACTGCCCAGGGTGGCGAGGCATACAGCCAGGCCCCTGAAAAGGCATACATTGGACGCTTGGATCCTGGTCAGGCGGATGAATTCCGCAAGCGCGTCGACAAGTATGTCAGCTCTACTCAAGCCGAGATCCGGAAGATGGAAGAAGAGCACCAAAAGACAATGACTGCGTTGAGAGAGCACTCGCTGCTGAAAATAAAGGAGAAAGAGTTGAGGAATATCGTGGACGGGCATGGGTCACACGGCAAGCATCAGTCCGAGGATGAGCCCGTGGGCCGCCATGTGTCGAAACACTCCATCGAAGAAGTTGTGCAGCAGGTGGAGTCATCGACGGGCCGCAAGATAGTCAGCCTGCCGCTCTCCAAGCGCATCCAGGAGGGGGGTTATCAGGCTCCCGCTCCCGAGCCGCCGGCGCCAGGCTCAACCGCAGAACTTTCCCGGCAGCCATCTCGAGCAGGTTCTCAGGCAAGCGGTGCAATGATGGGTGAAACTGACATGGACATGGGTGATACAGCATCTGGACTACTCGATCAAATGCACACCGGATTCTCCTCCACATCGACCCCGGTCAACAACTTCCCAACGCCTCAGCCCAATCCCTCGGCCGGTCAGTCAGGCACAGCTACTCCAGCACAGGCCGCAAATACCGCCTCACCGGCTCCCGCAGCCGCAGCCGCAGCCGCAGCACCTACAGCTGCTCCCCCACAGCCTTCGGGAGACGTAGAGATGGGCGGAACTGATACTACTGCCGAGAACGAGGTACGAACTACGCCCGACCATGGCACTGGTAGTGGAGACTGGGTTGTGGTTCCCAAAGATGACGACCAGGCAACGGCTAACGATGCGGCTCAGACAACAACAACAACACAGCCTCCTGCTGATGCTGCCGCCACGACTACCGCTCCCGCTTCTGCTCCCGCTCCCACGACTGGCGCAGAGGGCGACGATGCCAAACCACAAACACCAGCGGCCGCAAAGGCGCCGTCAGCAGCGGCGACCCCTGCGGTGACAGAAGGGGGCTCTGTATCCTTTGATCAGAATGACTTTAGCTCTCTAGGCGATTTAGACACGGCGGGCGATGCCCTCGCGGGCTACGATGCCCCGGAGCTGGACGGCTCGGCAGGCGGGCTCGGCGACGACCTGGATCTGCAGATGGACATGGAGGACTCGGCTTTTGGAGATGCTTTTCACGGCGTTGACGCTTCTCATACCCCGGGGGATGGACAAAACCAGGATGGCATGTGAAATAGCTTTGTAATCCGCTTTGCTGCTTTTTTTTTTGTCTTGATAGGAAATCGGAAAGAAAAAGACAATATCTAGAATGATGGTGTCCAAGTGTTTGAGTAGAGGGATAAATTCGTTGGCGGATTTGATGCTATTGCGTTGATGAAACTGGTGGGGGAATATAATATTGATGAGAAAGATGAAACCTGATGCTTGGTAGGAGAATGAAATTGCACTTTTGATATGAAAATGGATGTTTTATTTACAGTTATCGAGTCTTCTTTTAGGGTAGGTGGGCGTTTATATCATCTTTGTCGCTATTCAAGGGAATCTGTCCCCGTCGTCTGCCAACTTGCTTGAAACACAGCTTGAAACTCGGCGCCTTTCCAAGTCCTCGTTGTATGCCTGGATCTTCGCTCTATCCTCTTGTGTAAACTTCTTGGGAATATTTTCCGCATCCGGGTGAAACGTGTCCGTCTGGATCCTTCTTCATCGATCTTTGTATATCGCGCAGAGGCATGTTATTGCGGTCTGCGATGGCTCGAGGTATAACCGGGTCCTGGATTTGGATGATTGAATACCCGGTTAGCATACTGATACATGAGAGAGTAATCGAGGACTACTTGCTGGCAGCTTGTGCGCCATATCGCCGGCGAGTCAATGCAAGTAGGTGCATTTAACAACGGCGCGGACTTGTTCAAGATTTCACGTAAGAAAGAATCACGCTTTTCAAAGGCGGGGGTGTTGATGGTATAAATCACAGCAACTGTTGTACTATCCATTCCATACAATCCGTAGCCAATTGTAACATGTCTTCATCAAGTAATGCTAAATACAAGTAATCTGTCGCTCATGTTATTGTTTGGATAGAGTAATAGATCTAAGCTTGTAAGATTGAGAATATATACTTGAGCTTCATCCAATCCGCAATTAGAAAAGAGCAGTCTTACAAGTTGACCACGAATGCTTTGCTTTTCGACATGTTATCAGAACCGAATGGCTATGAAAACTCGGCAACTGGAGAAGCTGTTCAATCTCGTCATAGGATCTATCCCCGGCTTCGATTTCCAAAGAGTTATTTTCATCTTGTCCTTTGGGCACGATGAGCATAACAGCATCGGTTGTTGCTCCGTAGCAGAGCCACAGTTCTAGCATCTCGCAGTCATGGTTGAAACCATTCCGTCCGTACGTCCAAGTATCGAATGCTGCTTCATGAGCCCTGACTCCAAAAGTATACAGGCAAAATCAACCAAACATGAACCCATCTGCAGCGCTTCTGGATAGGACTGGCGTCTTTGAGGAGCTTGTCGAGCCAAGCGCAGGCAAGAGTGTCGAGGCGGGATTCAGCTGGTTGGAAGGCTGCGAGGCGTAGAATCACCGCCGATGCCTGTCTGTCCTGCTATTATATTCTCTCTAGGATTTTTGCGTAGAGATCGACGATGTCGGTTGGTGTGGCTTTGATTCTGTCTTGAAATGTGTCGGGATCAACACCATCTGTGTAAGCCTCGAGCATCTCCTTGATTACAAGGCGAGCCCACAAGAATTCCGTGTTCCTGGTCACATATGATTGTACTGAGTTCAACATAGCGGTCGGGAATTGCCTCGGGATGATTCTTGAAGTTTGAAAAAGCAAATTGAAGTATATCCCTCTTTGTATGGGAATGCAGCAACATCTTATTCTCTGGGGGAAATCAATCATCCAAGGCTGGTATCCCTCTGGATGACAACATGATCTTGGTGTTGCTGGCTTCGTCTTGACACCAATCCATCAAATCATGCGTTAATTGACCAATGTCGTAGTTGTTCTGTGTCTTGCCGCGTTCCGCCTCCGAATAATTCGATCGGTACTCGTCGAGCCCATCAATGAACAGGCAGAAGCAATACTTATCAGCCAAGTTGGACTTGTTCGAGAAAATGTATTTTATGGCGTCCTGGACAGCTTCATATGGGAGTGGAATAGACGCTGGTGGACTGGACTCTCCAGGTAGGACTTCATTCACTAGAGCCGGACGCTCGCGAAGAATCTGGAACGAAAGAGACCTGTATAAACTCTCCTCGGAAGATCATGCGCCGCTGCCTTGTGTCACAGAGAAGAAGAAGATTGCTCGTATCAGACTCTTGCCCGTCTTTGAAGCCCATTGTTCGAGGTCTTCCAAGACGACCGAGTTGCTCATGAGATGTTTCATAAGCGTTGACTTTCCACAAGCAGGCTTCCCCAATATGAGGAATGCCCCAGACGGTCCCTGTAGGAGAGATCGAAAGTTATCCGAGGCTTCTACATGATGTTTGAGCATATCTGGATCGCATTCATCATAAACCAATCTTTCCTTGTCGTTTAGATTATCGGGGTATTCGTGGCCGTAATCAGAACCCTGAGTCATCCAACCGAAAGTTCCAGGGTCTGATTTGGCTATTGCGTTGGCTTTCAAGTCCTTTTCTTGGAGATCTTTTGTCAATCTTGACGGAATAATAGAAAGCTTCCGTTCCGAGGTGAAGACTTGAGATGCCTGCTCATAGAAACTGGCTTCAGTGACGGTAGCCGATCTCATCTGTTTACCGAGGATGCCTGTTTCAATGAGAGATATAATCTTGCCCACAGCGCCAATAATATCCATGTTTGCAAGATGAGTCTCAATAGAGGCTCTTTATTGATGTGTGAAATACATCAATGTCGGTATATGGAAAGGTTCTTTGTAGGAAAAAAAGAGACGAGGTTGACCTTGTCTGGTACCAAGGCATAATGCTGAGTGAGACTCACAACATGATTGAGAATACCAATAGAAGCGGGCAGAGATTAGGTCGCATAAAAGATACTCGGCCGAAATAGATGAGCGTTTAAGTGATTCTCTAATAAATAATAGAGGTGATTGATCAGACAGGGTTTGTATAAGTAAGAAGTGAATTATTAAATTTACATAAATAACAAGTGAATTGTGAAAAAAAAAAAAAACGGCGTCTCAATTCCTTCTTCTATCAAAGTCGACGAACCCTAGGCAGACAGCCGATAATAATTTAACCAAAACAAAACTACCCATCCATCAAATATCCTAAACGCCATCCATGCGATGAAATTCTCATGACCATGTCATTGAATTTACATCAAATCAACCTGCCGCCCCAAATCACACCAAAAAATCACCCCGACACATTCTGAATATTGGCATACCGACTCTCCGGATAGCTCAGCATATTTCTGGAATAATCGAGATGACCCATCTCTCTACCCAGCGTCCTAATCAGACTCTCTTCTCCAGCACGATCACCCGAAGCTTCCCAAAAGACGGCGCCGCCAAGGCCCCTGCTCTGGAGATACCCTGCCTTGAGTCTCGCCGTCTCGACGTTATCAAAGGAAACCAGTTCCCGTGTCGAAGGATCGTAAGAGTACGCAGAGAGGGTATATCGGTTGACGTGGACAATCGCACCAGGTCGAGGAAGGTCGCGGTAGAGATAAACTCCCGGCTCAATAGTGCCCGGCCCGATGCCATCGTAGGGCTTACCGAGACCGTCAGTGTTCTCAAACGAGCGGCCATAGAGGGGAAGACCGAGAACAATCTTGTTAGGGTCGATGCCTCGTCTAAGATAGGCATCCACTGCTTGGTTGGTGTTGAACTTTGTGCTGTTGGGGTTGTGCTGGTCAGAATAGACGTTGGACTGTTGCCCAGACACAGTGTCCCAGCTACCAGCATAGTCATATGCCATCAGATGCCAGGTATCGATATACTGATCCATCGCCTCCATCTCCAGAACATTGTAGTGCTCAGGCCCGGCAGATGTGGCCACGGTGAGGAGGTAGCGATAGCGCTGGCCGTGGCGGGCTGCGTAGTTGTCCAAGGCTGCTCGAACCTCTCGAAGCAGATAGACAAAGTTCCGTGCGTCCTCTGGCGTCGCCGGGTATTCATAGTCAATGTCAATACCATCAAATCCCCAGTCGGCGAGCAGCTTAACCGCAGTCTCGGCGAAGCGGCGTCGACCATCAGCAGAACCAATGGCGGGCGCAAACTGTCCTTCTTGCGACGCGGTCCAGCCACCGACGGATAGCAGGGTCTTCATGTGGCGATTCTTGCTCTTGAGCAAAAAGACTTGCTCGACTGCGCCGTGGACGGTGTCACGCTTGCCTAGAAGTTTCTGCTCGTCGGCCCAGGGATCAAACGAGATACTTCAATGGTTGTTAGTGTTTGACTTTCTGGATGGGATTTTGAGTCGAAACTTACACAGATCCATCTGGTGCGATTCCGGCAAACGCGTAGAGCAAGTGCGTAATCTCATTTGTGGGGAGATACTGAGGCAGAAAGCCTGCGTTATAGATGCTCCTAGTATTATGAGCATCCATCTGACATGAATCCAACAAAGTGTCTGTGATGACTTACCAGTCGGTGAAGTAGACGACATTCTTTCTCCTTGAGGAATCGGAATATCCCTTCCTAGAGCTGTGTCCATCGTCCTTATTAGTGGCATTGTCGAGCCCGGGAAAGTTGGGGTTAGGACGCAGCGGTGATGCTGGAGAAGGAGACCAAGCAGAAGACTCAAAGTCTGCTGGTGCAGGACTAGGCTCGTTCGGTAGTGATGGAGAAACAGATATCCCAGGCGCCTCTACACCGAATGTCTCTAGCTCTGTGGGATCTATGGGTTCTAGTTCGATCGGTGGAAGATCAAACGGCAAGTCATCAGTCGGGATAATCGACGCTGGTTCGGTAAGTGGTGACGGATGTGCTGTCGGATCGTCACATCTCGGTTTGAGAGCAGCTGGAGTGGCCACGGCGACTCTGGCCACAACGGGCAGCACGACGCAAAGGAGCTTGAACATTGCGAGAGGTTTGAAGGAACGTATGCGGATGCTCAGTAAGACAAAGAATGCAGAGGGAAATAATTTGGCTGCCCATCGCTTCTTATATGAACGAAAACCTTGAAAAGTAAGTACAAGCCCCGTGGCAGGGCAAACCTAAGACAGTGTATCATCCATATTGGAAGGACGCGGATTTGCTTTCCAGTGAATCGCCACAGAGTCGAGGCCGCATCGAAGGTTTCGTCCAGATGGAAACATTTGAATCATACTTTGAGGAATGTGAGAGAGAAAACAAAAAGGTTGGGACCATGCCGATGCGTGGCTCTTAACAAAGTTCAAACTACCCACATGATGTGTAGAGTCAGAGTTACTAGAGAGCCACGCAGCCAAGGTGGAACAAACTCAAGCTCCGATAAGCAAAAGATTCGATTCCGCCCTTTGCTTCAGATGCCGTAAACAACTGATAAGTCTCGGATGATACGTGAATGGCGATGGCGCTTCCCGCTTGAGACTGCGATTCGCAACGAATGCAGAACTGCCATCAGCTTCCAGCCACTGGCTATCATTTTCAGGAACGCGCTGCTTCCGGGTTGAGGCTGAAGCTCAAGTAAGACATTTTACATAAGCCATAGAGGCAAAGCCAGGAATGGAATATTCCATAGCCCCTGGTGGGAATGTGGCGACACGCACTGGGATTTTGAGACAGAGAGACGTGAAGGGAGATCACTGGAAGATGGGGCCAACAAACCGTAAACATCCGCGCTCTGAGTGCTGTAGTGTGAGGGGATGATTCGCGTTTCCGTGCACGCGGCGCCATAACGAGGAATTCCACAGCCAGGCGCCTCAGACAATAGTTCCGGTAGCATAGCCAGCTTCATGTGCTCTGGGAGAGTCGTTCTATTCTCGTGTGTTTCTTGAAATATCGCATCCGGGCTATCGATTACCGCCAGCACCTGGAATTTCCTGCTCCTCCTCTTCTCCTTGCTCTTCATCCACGACGACCGCGTCCCCAACCTGTATTGTGGGTCTTATGCCATCCGATTCCTCGTCTTGCTCCAGCGGCTCATGCTGCATGTGTGTACCGAAATAGACTTTGCCGTTCAGCCTCCTTGTTTTTGCCAGCGTGACAAACGGCTCTTGTCTTCTCTCCCCAGTCGTCTGATCAACGCATACCATTTGGCATCTCTGACAGGCCCCCAGGAGTTTGAAGCTGTGGTTTCCAATGCTAATTCTCCTCCACATATCTTCTGAATAGGCCGTGTGACCATGATGACCTGGAGATGCCTCAACGATGATATTCGCTCGAAACACTGATTCATCCACGGCAGACTCTCCAGTCTCCATAATAGTCTTGTTCAGCATCTCTACACTAGAGGTCGATATCATGAGAATGGGACTCTCGTTGGAGAGGAGAATCTTGCCTGGTTGACTTTGCTGCTGTTCAGAGTCTGAATCGGGGGGAGATGGAACACCAGGGAACGGAGAAGGCTGCCCACTCTGAGTTTTTTCTGTCCGCTGGTGTTTCTGCACCCGAGCCTTTGAGAGCCTGCTACTAGCTCCGCGGCCTCCTGCTGGAAACCTCGCCAGCACACATGGAATTCCCAGTGAATTAGAAAAGAAGTCATTGATTTCTTCTGAAAGATATGATTGTGCGGAAATATTCTCCCCGCACACTCTAGAGCTTGTTTGTCGGAAATCAGTGTCGAGCAGAGAGGGGTTGTTGGATAGCGGTATGTCCACTTGCGTTGGCTGCCCTTTCGGCGTGCTTCCGCGGTATTTCACACGTAGCACGTTGTCATTGAATAGTAGCAAAGGTTGTAACAAGGCCATTCGTGGATAGCGTTTCTGACTGAGAGCCTGACCGGATCCTCGGTGGACCAAACACCATTCGCGATCCCAAGCAAGGCCCTCTGGCCGTACTTCCCAGCGAACCCCGGGTGGGACGGTATAGCCACTGCAGCTCTTGATCGGATACACCGTGATAGTCTTGACTCGAATATTTGTCGTACCGCCAACGGTTCCCGTCATAGCACTGACCGGGCTTGGTGCTTTGATGTAGTCTTCGACGAAAAACTCTTGTACGAAAGCTAGGAAGCGAGCAACGTCTGACTTGGTATTCATGGCTCCCAGACTAGCACGTATGATTCCGGTGGGCTTGTTGGTGAAACGGCCACTGTCTTCGCCACATCGAATTCCAGAAGAGAGGTTCCGCTTCATTTCCCACGGCTGCAAGTCGAGAGCGGATGCTAAGCCTGCGGGGCTGCACACACCTCCGGTTCTGACATGCATCTTCTTCAAGATTGCCAACTTCTCAAACTCGGCGAGGCCAAGCCATAAACCCCGACTATCCCTAATATTGAAGGAAACGACTGGGCCAGTCTCGATAGGTACCACTTCATCTGGTATTTCTGAATAAATGTGACAGACGGGGTTTCCATTTGCGTGTCGTAAACTGTGCAAGCCACGACATAGCTCGCGACTGAGGTATGCCGTGTGAGCACTAATTTGATCCATGGAGCCGAAAAGCCGTTGATGAGTTGATATTGCTATATCAGCGGCAATGATACTGTGAAACGGAAGTGTCCCGTCTTCCAGGCGTTCGTGAAGAGAGTAAGACTTTGGGGAGTGCCACTGTTCGTCTCCACAGAGCACCATGTCTACCGTGCCGCCGCCAAAATATTTTCGATGGTTGAATACATCTTCTGCAGAGCGACGAACTAGTAGAACGCCCAGGTCAGGGAATCCAAAGATCTTGTACAGGCTTAACACCACAAAATCAGCAGCGAATTGAGGGTCAGAAAGGTTGAGCTGTGAAGTGGCACTGAGTGAAGCCGCGTCCAAGAGCGTCAATGTCCGAGACGAAGATTGAGCTTCCCTCTTCTTCAGCTCCTTGGCCCATGATATGGGATATCGCCTCCCATCCATGTGAGACTGAACCGAGTAGGCGAATAATCTAGCAGGAGTACCGGAAGCTGTTGGCTTAAACGGATCATCCCCGTCTACCCAAGATCGAACTCCGGTGTTGTCGAGACAGACGCTTTGCTGTGCTTCTTCTCTTGCCCCTATCACACTCGTGTGGCAAGCTTGGTGATGGGCAAAGACATAGCCTTCAGGTAAGGATCTCATGCCCTCAACCACTAGCTTCACGCCAGCAGTCGCATTCGCCACAAAGACCAAGTCATACTGATCAGGGTCGGCTCTGAAGAAATCCAACAGACGGACTCGGACTTGGTCTATCCGGGATGAAGAGCGCTGGGATGGCGATGATGCGGAATGGGGGTTCCCATACAGCACCGATGTCATGTCCTTGGCAAAAGCATCCATAAGAGACTTGGAAGTGAGTGTGGACCCAGCATGATCCAAGTATACGGAATCTGTATGGAGAGTCCCCATGTTAGATTAGAGTAGATTAAGAGAGTCCATAATATCATGACACAGAATCCAGATACACTTACCCTGCAGCATTGGGTATTCCTCATCGCGGAAGTCTTCGACCGCGTTGTTGTATTGCAACCGCTCCATCTCGACGGCTCTGCTCTGCTCTGCTCTGCTGTGTCAGCCCGTTTGGCAACGGATTCCCAATGCAGGATAGAGCGGGTTCAACTGCGGCATCCTCTGGGCACGCGAGCGATTGTTCGATTCGAGACGGTGAGGCAAGAGAGAAGGAGAAGGGCGAGCCAGATATAAGATAAATCGGCAGGCTGGAGAAATGCAGGCTAGTAAGCAAAGATGACGCCTCTTGAAGCCGGGAAGCCAGAACAGAGTTGGGCACATGTACATGGACAGGCACAATCGCGGTCGGAGATCGCCACTCTCCAGCCGTGGTGGAGCACAGGCCGTGGTTGGTTGATTAGATAAGGAGCAGAGTGGCCACACGTGTGGGCGGAGAGGTACAGTGCCGGCTGCGGCGAGTGGCTACTGTGGTTACCGTGCACAGCGCATGAGCGTTAGGTGTCTTTAGTGGACTAGTAGTGCCGGAACATACCCCGTACTCCCAACCGATACGCATTGGGGGCCGAGGATATGCGCTGCCGCACAGTGCGCATCCCCCCAAACCCACTCCCACTCCCACTCCCCCACAAGTGCGCGTGTCGCGGCCGTCTTCGGCTCCACCCTCTGGATGCTTCAGCCTCTGCCAACTTGAACCTCTACATCTCACATCTCACTGCCAAAGGCGCATCAAACACGTCGCGCAATCCGCCAGAGCCGCGCCTTATCAATTCAGTTCGTCGTCCCTTTCTTGCCTTGATCCTTGATCCTCGATCCTTAATCCTCAATCTCCTTTTCACTCGTTCATTCATTCATTCTTCATTTCTCCTCTCCGTTCCTTTTCTTCTCCTCTGCCGCTGCTGCATTGTCCTTCCTCCCTACCCCCTTGACCAAGCTTTCGGCAATCGGCCGGCATTTCTCTGCCTCTTTTCTTCTCTGTCCTCTCCTCTCCTCTCCTCTCTCTCTCGTCCTCCTGCCTACCTGCCGAGCCTCTACTTGTCCCATCATTTGGCATCAGCTCTTTTGCTATCCATGTCTTTTCTTTCTTTCTTTTCCCCTTAAATTTTCTCTCTTCTTGTCTACTACTTGTGCGATCTTGCGTCAGAATGTCTTCTCTAACGGCCATTTTACCGCCACGCTGTAGGGCGCTCTTGCAATTGAATCCTCCATAGGAACCACCATTGCCTCTGATGCTCGACGACATCTAATTGACCATCAATCTGAGACCAATTCCCCGATCTAGCGCCAGGCACAATGGATTCCTACTCATCCTATCGGGATGGCGCGGCTCGATCGCCGAATGAGAGAACATGGAGCCGAGACGATTCCAGAACTAGGGAGGAGAGAGGCGATGGATTCTACCGTGCGAGGTCTCCGGGTTCGTCTTGCCGAGCGATCCCCTTGAAGATTTGATCCCTTGCTGACTATTGATGTTCATAGGCAATGAGCGCCGAGATCGCCGACGATCTCGCTCCCCACCTCCCGTTGACCGGTACGAGCCACGTCCACGCCGAGATGGTCGAGATGGTCGG